TAAAGGGAAAGATTTCCTTAAAAATTGATTATTATCTACATCCATGGCAGCAGGTATGTATTAATACCTGTGTATCAATACAGGTGTATGAACAGAAACAACAGAACACATTAGGAGCACAGTATGGAGCCTTTTCCTACAGACCAAGTTCCTCAGCTCGAAGCTGAAGGGCCATCGACCCAGGAGACATCTACATCAAGTGGCACAATCGAGTTCCGCATCCTCCTTTGGGGAGTAGGGCCTGGGGTTTTAAATGCTTGTGAGCGACATCTAAGATACAACTATTAGACTCTTCCCGTGCAGAACAAAGGAGAAAACAAAGCCAAAGATCCGAGGGGCCAATGAGTCCAAAGGAGTATTAGAGCCATAGGAACCATGGCCTACCCAACCCTGAGCCCAGAACTAGATAGATGGTGCCCACTTACCCACTGCTGACCACAACAGACTGTAAAAGAAAATCAAATTCACAAAAACCACCCGACTTTCTATTCTGACAAGAGAATGGAAGAGCCCCAGGACTACGATCCTAATACATCTTTCTGACTTGGAAGTGAGGCCATTCCGTAAGACCACCCTTCAGCCACGCACTAGGCAGGCCCGGAATATAAGCAGTAACTCTTGCGAGAAGCGCACTCCTTAGAACAATCAGTTGTATAAGACCCAAAGGACAAACTTCCCTTTTACCAAAAACAAAGATGAGAAGGCAGTAAGGGGTAGAAAACGAAGACACAAGAAAAGAGGAAATCTAGGGTGGAAATGGCAATTGCAGCCAACGTCCTGCACGGGCCACTTTAGTACACATTATCCAATGGTGAAGTACTTTTCTCTGTAAACTTTTGGCATTGCGCAATAAAAAATAAGCAAAAGCACTCAACCTTCTGACCCCCCAAAAAACGTTACAGTAGAACCCCAGACCTCGACGCTAATCCGTCGAGATGTGATGCTGTCAAGTTCTGAATCCATTTTCCCATAAAAAAACAACAGAAAATAATTAATCCATTCTCGACCACCAGGCCCTAACCTGGCCTTTTGATACAAAACATTACACAGACATTTCAAAGTACATAAGTTCAGAGTTAAATAATAGAATTTAAATAAGAGACACAGCATCTTAAACGGTTTAGCAACTACAGTATGGCCCGTACCTTGAGACGGAGGAGGAGGATCTGGATCTGTGGACGGGTGCGGGGAGGAGGGAGAGCGAGTCATGTTGGGACGGAGACTCCCCTTCCACCACATCAACTGGCAGCTGCTTTGCAGCAGTTTTCCCTTCTTTGCCTTTTTTTCACGAGGACCTGGCTGGCTCTCTCTGAAAAACAACCTGTTGACTGTGGTCTGTGCTTGGCGTTTCCTGAACTGTTTTCTAAAAGGGTTTATCAAATTATTATCAAAAATATCCATAGCCCGGTTAACCAGTTCCTTATCATGATTCTTTTCAAAAAACCCTTTCTTAGGACCCATGTTTTTATCTAAAAACAGTACAAAAAGCCACAAAAACTAAGAAAATGATAGCAAAACACTTGGAACACAGCTGCAAAAGGTTTCAACAACGCGTCCTAACAACGCCAATTAACGCCGAGTGACCGAAACACGAACTGCTTTTGTTTACAAAAATCACCTGCATCGGGTCGGATTCCGACTCAAAATGTTCTAGACGTTTCGCATCGAAATCCGATTATGTCGCGTACGGATGCGGTCGAGGACCGGAGTGCGGCTGTGTTTTTATTACAATTGCTGCTGCTGCTGTTCTGTTTTGGACTGGGGGCTGTGTTTTTGCAAGGGGAGCAGCGGGCAAGGGAACCCTCTCCACTAAGCTGGGCTCCAGTCATGGGCCCTGCGTCCGGGCCCTGCCTGGTTTTGCTGTGTGGGACAGCTAAGTGGGAGGGAGGCGGCCTGGGCCATCTGCCCGGGTCCTCTGGGCCTCGTGTGCCAGCTGTGAATGGCAGAGGCAACATGAGCCACTGCAGGGAAGGGCGAGCGAGAGGACGTCCAGGGACCGGCTAGGCGTGCCGGGCGGGTTGAAAGCTGGCTGCCATCAGGGCGGGGAAGACTGACTCACCAGGGCACTGGTGCCCGAGTCACGCCGGCCTCACACTGTGCACCTGGGCGATGTGCACGGGGCAGCCGGAGTCACTCTGTGCCTCTTGGCAGAATGGAGGGTCAGTTGGAGGGTGAATGGTCCTGCCCTGCCATTTGCTTCCCAGCGGACAATGGAGGCAGGTATCCTGGGCCTGTCATCCAGCCCTGGAGACCCCCTAAGCGTGTTTCCCTGCTGTGCCCGCCTCCCCAGCCCCCAAGAGTGCCGCCCCTGTCACCTCAACATTGAAGGCCTGTAGTCCGGGGGTTCAGAGGCGGGTACAGGCCCAGGTTCAGACGCCACCACGTCATAGCCACTGAGCCTTCGGTTAAGCCCTCCGACCTGTTTCTCCAGTTGTAAAATGCAGATAATACGCCTGCCTCACCCACCTCGTGAGGTTGAGTCAGGGCCGAGGAGGAGAGTCTGGCAGAACAGGGGGATTCTCTTACGGGTTACTGTGGGGTGGCCGTGGCACGAGCGAGCAGGGGGCTTCAGGTGACAGGTAAGGAAGGACGCCCTGGGCCTCGAGGCTAAGCTGGGCTTAGGTGTTTGCTCGTGGATGCTTCCGGCTGCAAAGTAATAGTAAATCGGATTCAAAAGAACCCGTAGAACTGAAACATCCTGAGGCAGAAGGACCTCGGAAGCGGTGTGATCCGGGCCCTGGCCATGTTCTCGGAGTGTGTCGGTGCTGGCTTCTCTAGGAATGATTGTCCAAGTCCCAGGTCACAGAGAGTAGAAAAGCATGGCTGGAAACTGATGACGATAGCAGTCATACATCCTGTATGATGTGATTGAAACACAGTGTATGTATTAAATGCCAACTGAAAAGAGACACACTAGAGTGGCAATTTGCCTCCTTGGTGCCCATTTCCCCCGTTGGGCAACTGCTGTCCGTTTTCATCTGGTGCTTCCCTCTTCCCTCATTCTTAAGATTGTGTGCTTCTGATGGGGCCTCACTTCCCAGTGCAAGCAAAGCAGGGAACTAAGATTTATGCCAACCAGTGCACTGTCTTTGCCTAACCACTGCCGCTGCTTCCTGGAAAGGCACTGGACTTGATGGATACAGTGGTTCTCGTGGGGATGGAAGACTGGAGCCATGCCAGCTACTGCTCTCTGCTAAACTTGAACTTGTGTTGTTACGTAATTTCATGTCAACTTGATGTGTAGGGGTGGAGTCAAGCCTGTCAATCGGGTCACAGCCTGATGGTGCCTCCTTGTGGGCGGGACCTCCTCTTAAAGAGGGTCCTATGAGTCTCCCTTCTCTCTCTCTGCCTCCACCTTCCCGTTGATGAGCCAGATTGAGACCTGCGTGGGCCCTGGAGACGTGTCCACCGCCACTGGACCCACAAGACTTGCACCCACCATCTAGTGATGTTCCTGTATCTTTGCAGGTGGCTTCATGAATCTGAACAGGGACTATGGACTAGTGTCAGACTGGAGGACTTTGAGTTGAACTGGGCTGGGATATTTTCCTGACATACAATTACTTCGTGAGATAAGGTTCCTTCTTATACACAAGTGTGTCTGGATTTGTTTTTCTAGTCAACCCAGCCTAACACAGAACCCACCAGCATGGAGGGGCTGTAGCTAGCTACTGCCACTGCCAATTTGCAACTACACAGACCCTGAGGTTGAGGTTAATGTGGAGGAGTATTGGGGAGAGATGGAGAGAGAGAGACACCCACTGAAACCACTTGGCATGGTCACCCCAATCCCTGGACTTCTCTGTTTCAAAGTCAACTTATTTCCTCTTGACTTGAAGCCAGTCTGGGTCAGGTTTCTTGTCAGCTGTCACAGTGTCTTAACCCCTTCAATTTCCCGCTATGTATAAAACATAGGGCAAGTTGTCATTCCCAAGACAAGGAACTGCAGCACGTGCTGGGCAAAACAGCACTGGAGAAAGGCCATTCAACTCTCCCTGGTGTTGAGCCCAGCTGTGGAGCTGGCCGGTATCTCGCTCCCACGGGGGCTCCCAACGCTGGGTTAGGACTCTCGTTGCAGGTGTGATGGTCTGAGTTGGCAGTTTATCCATGAGACTCCCTTCCAGCCGGGCCTGGCAGACTTCCCACTTTATACAGCACCCAAAGGGGATGGATTTGAGGTGGGCTTAGGCCCATCTGGATGTAGATGCTGTAGTTTGGATTTAGCAATGTGGGAAAATACATATTTGCGGGAACCCATCTTGAATGCTACATGTCTCCTGTTTAAGGAGCTGCCTGATTAAATCCCTCAGAAAATTTATTGGGAACCCCCTGAGACCCCATTGGGAGCGGGAAGGGAAACTCAAGGACTTGCCAGTGTCAACTCCACTGGGATAGGAATTCATTCAGTCTGCGCCTCCCTCGTCTCAGCCTTCACCAAATGTTACCCAGCCTTTAAGCCCAGCTCAATCCCCCTTCCTGGGTGCGAAACCAACACACTGAGGGGGTCTCTTCTGTTCCTAATCACAGCAATGACAACTGCAGTTAGTCTCAGTACCTGGAGGCTCCTGGTGTTGTCTGAAAGGGTTTTGTCTTTTGTTACAGTGAAGCCAGGAAGGAGGCACTTCAATGTGTTGCTTTGCAGCCCAAGCCTTTGTGAAAAGAGTAACAGTCCAGGAGGCAGGACTTCCAGCCAAGGGTTGCAATTGGTGGATGCCTGACATCTGTCGTGGCCACTTTCTTTTCTCCCCTCCCGAAGGGGCAAGCCAGAGTCCACACCTTCTTGGCCACCCTTGGGAGAGGAGGAAAGAGACTGATCGTGGGATTCCAGTCTGTCCTTGTGACAGCACCCCCTGCCTCTGTGCAGACATCCGTCTGTCCACCCACGCAGGGCCGAGTGTCTGCCCTGGGGCTGCGGAACACCTTCCCTGCTCTTGGGAGGGGGTCAGGAGGGGCATCAGAGAAACAGAGCAAGAGAGCGAGAAACAGAGATGGAATCCCTATAGGAGATGGGACAGGATATTTGAACTGGCAAACACCATTTCCCATATTTATTGGAAACAATAAACCCACAGATCCAAAAAAGCTCAATAAACCCCAAGCAAAAGACATATGAAGAAAAGTACCATGAAGACACGTTATGGTCAACTTGCTTAAGCATCAGTGCTAAAGAGAAGGCCTGAAAAGCAGCGAGAGGAGAGAGCGAGGGTGAGACCCGGGGACCCCGCTTTCCCACTCCTTTTCAGGCTCTGGCATCCCACTGCAAGGAACCCTGGTGACAGAGTGAGTCACGCGGTGGGCTGCCAACAAGGTCTAGAGTTCGAAGCCCTAGCCGCTCCGAGGGAGGGAGAAAGATGGGCTTTCTACTCCGACAGTCTCGGGAACCCACAGGGGCCGTTCCACTCAGTCTTATAGGGTCGCCATGGGTCCCAGGTGACTCTAGCAGTGAGTTAGGTTTTTGAAGGTGGTTTGCAACCTCCACTGGAGTGAGAGGCGGTCAGAGCTCCTGTAATCAGCACAGGCCTGGCCTGAAGTCAGCCTGCAGGAGACTGGCAGCCACGGAGGAACCTTCAGTACCTTCCAGCATCCGGCATCCTGAAGGAACAGCAAGAGCTATCATAGAAAATGTTGTCCGTTTATTATTTCAAGGAGGTAATACACAGCCCAAGACGCCAAAGCAGGAGGGGATTGGAGGCAGCGACTGGCTGGGTCTTTGAGGAGGGCCCGGTAAGCTGCTTCTCTGTGCTCCGGCCACCTGGAGCCCAGGGCTGCTCACACGAAGGAAGGTCGGTGGTGGGGCGCTCGCTGTCACCGCAGCAGCTACCAGTTGGCCAGTTCGACGCTCTCTCCACTGGCCGAGGGGGGCGCAGCGTGGGCGGCTGCAGAGGCACTGCAGGGAGTGAACGCACCCCGTGGTGGCTCTCGCTCCCACCAGCAGTCAGTCCCAGCAGGCCTGGCAGCGGCCGGCCGGCTAAGCCGCTGGGTTTGATTCTGTGAGCCAGTGGTGGGCAGGACGTGAAGAAATCCTGAGTTGGAAATGAAGGTGGAAGCCTTAGTAGTGTTACTACTCGGGTGAGAAACGCTGACTGTCTCTGAGGAGGCTAGAGGCAGACGGGAGGGTCACGGGCTGCCGCTGCGGCCTTGAGGCGTGAGAGGTTCCTAGCACATGATAGGGAGAGCTGACATTCACGCATCATTAGTTCCCCGGGCTAGGCTGAAGCGACTCTGGCCAATGCACCATGGTGGCCCTGGACAGAGGCAGGGCTCGTCCTGGGGCCCGGGAGGGGGGCTCCGGCTCATGCAGGTCCCTCTTGGCCAGTTGGTAACGGAGAAAAGCAGAGGGTGGTGGGTGCCTCCTTGGGGAATCCCACCAGCATTGTTTGTTTGTTTTTCTGGAGAAGTCTTCTTTCCAGCCCCTGGGAGGGCACCTGGCCAGGCAGCTTCACGGTGACATGCAGGCTGGACCTGCAGCGGTGGCCCTGGCTGCTGTCATGCTCACAGCTCAGCAGACTGTCCGGGCTGGGGAGCTGGTGGGAAGGGCCGCTCCACATACACTTGTCCCCAACTAGAGCCTGGCCAGGCCAGAGCCAGGGTTGGGTGTCGCAGGAGCTGAGAGATTTTTGGCTTGACAGGTACAGGCAGAATCAAGCAGCCATGCCACCGTGTTCTCCACACCCAGAGCCAATGGTTTGGTTTTGTTGACGAGAAAGGACCAGAGAGCTGCAGCTCCCGAGTGGCTGAGGCTTGTGCAGCACAGAATGTACTAGATACTGCTGACAGCCTCAGCTTGGTCTGGCTGGGGTGGTGGCTGGCACAGAGCCGGGGACCCTTGTCCTCTAGTTGGTGGCCGGCTCTGCTGTGGCTTCGTCCCTCTCTTCCTTGAAGCCGGGGACGGGTTTCTGCAGAAAGTGCATGGTGGCCTGGATCACCTTATCAGGCCCGACGTTGTACACTGGGTGAGTGGGCCGCTGCAAGGGGAAGGAGAGGCGTCAAGTAACCCTCCAGCATCCTTGGATCCCTCCCTCTGCACACTCTCAGGCGCTTGTGGGAAACAGAAGGATTTCTCTCAAGCTGTCTCCCCCAAATATATGCCAGACTTCGCTGCTTGAGAATGACTGTACACTTGGAGGTCATCAGGAGTGGATTGGAGGTCAATCTCCCTGAGAGTTATCAGCTGTCTAGACCAAGCAGACACCACTGTTTATCTTACAAGTAGGGCCCACTCCCTTCTGATAAGGAGAGTAGTTGTCTGTTTCCTTGTAGGAGACACCAGAGGTCAAACCCGCCCAAGGATGACCAAGGTTAGGCTGCCATCATGAATCTAGGGTCCCCTTATCTTGCCACATGTATGACCCTAGACCTTCCCATTCCTATGGGCACACCCCTAGCTCATCCCCTTCCTGTTACGCTTATGCCTATCATAGATCCACTTCCTACAATGTGTATGCCTATTGTACTGCCCCTTCCTGTGATGTGTGATTCTATAATCATGTCCCCCTAAAGTGAGAGAATGCGTGGTTAGCAATAAAGAAGAGAGGCTCCCCGGTTCTCGATCCCCGAGGCTGCTCCTGCTCTCGTGGCTGGGTTCCCCCCACGAGGACCATCAAGCGGGGCTGAGGTGAGCAATGCTACCATGAATTGTGTCTGACTCCATTTATTCCAATCTCTCCTCTAACTCTCATGCTCTCTATGACTTTACTACAATCCTTACTTATTATCGCTGTACAACTGCGCCTACTGCACCTGTGATGATTTGTGGGGGACCCCTCTCCCTTTCACCCCAGAGGCACTGAGGATACGAAACCATCAGGACATCCGCACATGTTTATCATGTCAGACCCATAGGTTCTAACAACCTGTACCAGGCAGTTGCTAAAATACATATTTTATTATATGAAACACCAAGTCATGTTATCCAGCTATTAAGAAGCATGATTTCTTATAATATGGGCAGATGCTTCTAACACACCGAGAAAAATAGCCTGTTCGATATGATCCCTAACTTATTTTTAAAGAGTGTGCTCGTCGATATGGGCAATGAACTTGGCTTGGCTATTGGACTCAGGCTTGTGAAAATAACCCAGGCAATCAAGCTGGACATTTGCTCTCCAAACTAGCTGGGCAAACAGGGCTTCCCCAGACCCTCACCTGCAAACTACCTGCAAGAAAGATGGGGGTGGGAGGCTCACGTATATTCAGAGATTGGATTCGTGTTATGCAAAAAGGCCCACATCGTGCATATTCACTGAGGTCCTAATGACTAGGGGACCTTGGGGACCTCTTTGGGGCCTCATCGATGGTACAGGACAGGGGGTGGTGTGTCCTGGAAACAGTGGAAGCTTAGTGGTGCCAGGCCCTCTGCCAGCCCCCGCAGGATGCACGTCCCTCTTCACGTGTAACCGAGAAAGCCTGGGAGCCCCCCCCAGGGGCAATGAGCAGCAGGGAGGCTGGGCTTGCCCACTAGGCAGGGCTTGAAGGACAGAGTCCCACACTGTGGAGACCCAACTCTCAAGAGGTAGGGTAGAAATGAAGGTGCTCCCGGTGTCTGCTGTCACATGATGGGATAGGGTTATCTTATTTTGAAAATTAGCCTTATGGTTGGTGGTTCTTATTCATATAGATGTGATGTATATGAACAGACATATACCAAAATATCAACAATGACGTGGCATCTCTGCCCCCTCGCCCCTTAAACTTGTGTCTACATTCTAATTACTGAAGACAATGAAAATGTATTCACGTTCATAATCAAGACAGGAAAGGACCCTAGCCCTCACATGCAGGAAAGGTGCCAAGCTATGTTTAAATTCTTGACTTTCTTGCCCTTATCACGGAAACCCAGAAGAATCCTTAGGTCTGAGTCAGAGTATAATCATAGGCCAGGATCTATAGGCCTCTCCCACGCTGGGAAGAGGACACACGAGTATTTATAGGAGAGATTAATAAAAGTACGAGGTGAAACTATGAGCAACTTTATAGCAAAATGTGACAATTCAATGATCTGAGTGTTGCAGAGGAAGCTAAATGGTCAAGAGGGACTCAGGAAGGGAGATCTGACAACCTACAGGAAAAGTCACATGAATTCATTCTTAATTCCACTATTTCATTTCCCCCCCACACCCCACTGCTCCCCAAGATCCCAGGCCTGGATGGCTTCCAGGCTTGTTCTCAAATCTACCAGACAGATAGTCTCTAACCTACGCATCTAATGCAGACGCAGACTGAGAGCAGGGGATGGGGTGGGGGGCCAGGGGAACTTCCCATACGAAGCTATGTTATGCTAAAATTACACACCCTCGTGTGTGATTACCGGCCTCGGCCCACTCACTGTGTGATCCCTGCAGGCAGTCTCACTTGGACTCCTGTCTCAGGCCCAGTAAGCACAGCCGATGAGTCCCCCACTCACCAGAAGGTTCTAGAACGGAATTCGGTGTGAACATGCTGCCCTCAGGGGGAGGCGGACAGCAAACTGGCTGCACTGAGGGCTGTGCGGGGTAGCGGGCGCGGCTGTGTGGCAGAACAGAGGTGTCTGTCTGCTATAGCTTCTCTGAAGAGACGGCACTCTGCAGAGACCTCGAGGAGATAAGTCGGTGGGTGCTATCCTGGGCCTGCATGCCGCCAAGAAGGGGAAACGCTGGTTTCCTCAGAGGGGACCCTGTAAGAGGTGGGCCGGACCCACACTCTAGAATGACCCCTCTCACAGACTGGCCCCAGCCTGGTCCCTGACCCAGAGAGGCCTGGCTCACAGAGCAAGGAAGAAGGCCTGCTGCTCATGCTCACGAGTGGGCTGCACAGTGGGAGGGCACGGGGACTGCAGGCTGGCCAGCCTGTCCACACACAGCTGGTCCACGGACCCACGGTGGCCCCTGCCCTGAGGGCCATGAAGGAGGAGTGTTGAGAGCCCCCTCCCAACCCCCTCACATCATCTTACCAGAGCGTTCTCGGGGACACCCAGGACCACGTCATGTAGCATGGCGCCACTGCCAAAGTGCTGGGCTATGGATAAGCCGCTCAGGCAGTAGCAGGTGTGGTAGAAGTCACGTGACCTGCAAGGACAGGGTGGCTCTGAACGGGGCCCCTCTGCTCCTGGGGCCTGGGGCACAGCCTGGGACACTGAGGCCGGCCGCACACCCGGTTCCGCCTTGCCACCAGTTTCCCAGCAGCACCCCCTCCAGCCCTGCCCAGGCCCGGGAACTGTAACATGAGAGTTGGTCTCTCCAGCTGTCTTTTGGGAAGGGCTGAGCGGCACTGCTCTCTGAGACCAGCACTGTAGCAAAAGACTTCTCCAGAGAAAAAGCCAATCTGCCTAGACATGGGCAGATTCTTCCTGATAAGGTGCTGGGGACCGGTCTTGGCCCAGAGAAGGGGCATGGGGTGTGTGCTCTCTGGCAGCTGTGGTGATTACAATCTGTTTATGACACTCAGGGGCTTGAAACCTCCCTTATCTTGTTCTATTTAAATCCGTTTGGTTTAAAAAAAAAAAAAGAAAGGAGGAAGAAAAGCTAACCACCCAAATACCCAGCGTTGACTTAACTGGAGAAAGGGGGTGTCGGTAAAGGAGGTGCCAGGCCTGTGGCATTCACCAGGGACACCGCAACTGGGGGGCCCTTCCTGTACAAGGCTAGCTCTGGGCAGCTGGAGGGGGTTCCGGCCTTTCCCCCCGGGGCCCTCTCCCCATGCACTCACTTGCCGGGCTTGTCCAGCAGCCCCCCCGTGGGACACTGGCAGCACATGAGGATGTACTCTTGCAGGGCCTGCTGGTGGAACATCCACTGGCTCATGCTGAGGGCCGGGTCGCCTGTGGGGAGGCAAACACGGAGGGCACGTCACGGACCAGCGCCTTCTGGGTCCTTCATGCCCAGACAGAGCCAGTCAAGGCTGCCCTCTCTTCCTGAAAACCATATTCAAGACACCAATATGACATCGCATGCCCTTTCTCCGGAACTGTGGCATGCATCAGAGAACAACAGTTTCATGTGGCGCCCTTGTTTTCCTTGAAGTGTACCCCCACACGCTTGGTTGGGCACCCCATCTGTGGCAGCAGTGAACTTGCCACCCAGCTCGGCTCCCATCTCCAGGGTGGCCTGTGTCACTGGTCCCCTGGCTCTGCACTCTGGGCTTCCTCAGACATCTCCTCCAGCAACACTCAGGAACGCACCGCTCAGCCTCCAGTGATGGGAACGTGGCCCCTGTCTTCTCCTAATGCTCGCAGCCTGATTCAGTCTCTCTTGGAAGGGTATTCTCCAACTCTTCTCTTGACTCAAAAAGTTTTCCTGAGGGTAGGGGGGAACCAACTACAATGACGCACAATCCCATCCCCAAGGGGGACGAACAACAATAACGTGGACAAAGGGAGACAGTGGGGGGTGTGAGATATGAAAATAATAATCATTTATCATTTATCAGGGGTCCATGAGGGTGGGAGGGATGGAGGGTGAGGGAAAAGGGGGCTGACACCAAGGGCTCAAGCAGAAAAGAAAGTACTTTGAAAATGATGAAGGCCAACACCTGTACAATGTGCTTGATACAATGGATGTATGGATCGTTGTAAGAGCTATAAGAGCCCCAATTAAATGATTTACTTATTAGGGGAAAAAAGTTTTCCTAAGTAGCATTACTAGTAGTTGCCCTTCTGCATCACATGAGAGGGCTTCTAAAAGTTCATAAAAAAAAAAAAGGAATGAAAAGATAAGTTTCCTTCGACCTTTCTGAGGCCCTTGCAGTATGCGGGGACTCTGCAGGAGAGACGACGGACTCCTAGTGCCCGAGGGGTCACAGGCTGTGATACTGACTGGTTCTGGGCCACCTTCCTGTTTGCTGCAAAAACTATCCTCCTGTCTGTCCGTTTGTCCCACTGTGGCGGCTTATGTGCTCTTAGGATGCTGCAAGCTATGCCACCAGTGTGCCACATACCAACAGGGCTGTCCGGGGCCAGCACGTTCCAGTGGGTCCACTTGTGAAAATTAGCCGGTGAACACCTTAGGGACAGAGCAACCCAAATTTGGCCATTCTGACCCCACTAGACTAGGTTTGTTCAATCAGGATGGTCAGAATTCTGCGGGCAGTTCCAATGGGAAGATGTGAACAGAAGCATTTACATGGAGATTTAAATATTGATACATATGTAAGTATACAGAAATAAGTGTGCACGAAGTACTTGCTCACTTTTAAACTTTAATACCTAGGCTACAAACATCAAACGTTGTATAAATAGCAAAGGCTCATTTTTCTTCCTTCTAGGTTTCAAAATTTCTATATAGTCATAATTATGATGTTTACATTTAATCCTATAGCTGCCACTTGTCTAACCTGTTACATAATCTGCACCTCATTATCCAAACAGCCACAGATATTCAAGAACACAGGGACCCCCTGACTGGTGGCTGTAGACTTGGCTGCTAATGGAAATGTCAGTGGTTTGAACACATTAGCTGCCCTGTGAGAGAGAGATGTGGCGGCCAGCTCCCATACATTGGAATCTCTATGGGGTACCGTAGTTCTCTGTCCCACAAGGTCGCTACGAGTTGGAATTGACTCAACAACAATGTGTTTATTTCAGTAAGGGGACAAACAAGAGAACTGCATCATAACAGGCAAAGAGCAAAAATTGCATATAGATGGGTCTATAATCCTTTAGTACATGATAAACAAAGTCATACAGTGTATAAATTGTAATACAATGTATCGCTACAGAGTAAATCTCCTTCTTAGCAAAAGAGGGCGGTCTGAGAGTTACTTAGCAACAAAATCTCCTGACAGAGTCAGAAACAACCGTGCCCAGCTCCAAGTGGCCACCCACACTGCTCCCTGGTCCTGGCAACCATCCAAATACCCCACGCGCCCTCATCAGGCTCTGGAAAGGGCCTCTTCCGTCTGCCAAGTCTCCCCTCGCAGGTCTTTAACCCCCAACGCTTCCGTCCCGGGGCTGGTTCTGGAAGACTCGCATTTTATAAATCCAGGTCTGCTCTGATTTCATGACATTGGAAGCAATTAAAAAGCCTTGGACAAAAGTGATGGCTATTTGTTGGGCTGAGCACTAGATGGGGCACAGCAGCGGCTGGCTGACACTGCAGCGGACAGCTAAACACCCATCTTCAACACCTGAATCTCGTGGCCCGGAAAGATGCTCACATAGGAACCGAGACCCAGCGGCGAAAGAGGGCAACCATGTCTCTCATCTCATGCTCACTCTGGGTCAGTGGTTCTCCACGTCCCTCATGCCGTGACCCTTTCATACAGTTCCTCATGTTGTGGTGACCCCCCCAACCATAACAATATTTTTGTCACTGCTTTATCACTGTCATTTTGCTACTGTTATGAATCGGGCAACCCCTGTGAAAGGGTTGTTCGACCCCCAAAAGGGTTGCGACCCCCAGGTTGAGAACCACTGCTCTGGGTTCACGTTCATTAGCACAGCTGCACCGCCTGCATTACCTGTCTCTCCCTTTTCCTCCACCTGTAAGCACAGTTGCCTTACAGGAGACACATCCACAGAGGTACAATGGGGCTGGACGGGATCTTCTGTTACTTACTTCCAAGGTTGTTCCCAGTTCTTTGCAATTATAAGAAATAATGCAACGAACATCTTTTTGAATATTCTCACCATGTTTAGGATTATCTCCTTCAAACAGATCCATGGAGGGGAATTATTCCATTTCGGGGAATAAACATTTTTTAAGCTTTTGGTTGATGCTGACAAACTACACTCCCAGATGGCTCTGACATTGTATATAGTCTCCAGCCGAATTTGAAATGTTAATGTACTGCCTCCAACATCCATCACTGAGAAATGCCGTCTCAGTAATGGAAGTGCTAATGGCATCTGAGCGGTTACTTTGGTTTGCCGACTTGGGTAAGGAGGATGCCAGCTGCCCAAATGACGTCCACAGTCGCACTTCCTTCCAGGAGGAGTCCCTCCCGGCCTTCGGAGCTCCTCTAGTCACTGCCATCAACCCGGGTCTTTGTCTATTTACCTGTATCTGTGGCTTCTGCTACACACAGTCCCCTTCAACAAAACGAAACCTTTCTGTCGGTTAGATATCTGATTGCTTTAATGTATACAGCTTTAAACTTACACTGCAGACTGCTGGTTTTTCCTTTGTGACTTTTTAAAGTGTATTTAACGGACATGGGTTTTCCTTTTGGGGAGCTGAGACTGCGCCCAAACTGCTGGTGGTCACGGCCACACCTGGGCGTGCACCAAATGCCTGTCAAGTGGCCGCCTTAGGCAGGTGCTCGCTGTGTGCTACGTGAATGACTTCGTACTGACGCCGCTCTATGAAGAGCCTATTTAGCCAACACATTCAACAACTGTGCCACACACACTACTTTTCATGTGTGTGCCATAACATGTGCCACACACACTTTCCATGTGTGTGCCATAACATGTGCCACACACACTTTTCATGTGTGTGCCATAACAAACAAAAGGCCACCCTGAGAACATCAATGATAACCCACAGCTAAAATTAGAATCTGAAAAGGCTATTTTGACGACTAAAAAGATTGCAGTGCCTCAGTTTCCTCCACATCCGTGGGGCTTAAAAGTTCAAACACTCTCCTCCCGCACGGTGCTGGGAGGTGAGATTTGGGG